GCCGTGCAGAGTGGATGATTATTCCTTGTTACGCGCGGAGAATGTCTCAGAGCCCGCGCCCGTGAAGTGTCTGGCGCTCTGCTGTTCGGCCCGGCGAGTGGGGTTTACTTCTCCGGTCGTTCTCCGGCTTTCAGAACGGACGAGTGATTTACGTTATACTTAAAAAATATATAGAAGGAATAGTATGCTTGTGGAGCCCATTGGAGTGGCCAAGCACGTGGCGAAGTGAAGTTGAAATTATGAAAGGAAGATTCAGGCTTTGCAGTGTGGCGCGGAAAGCGAGTGTGGATCCTGTGTGAAGGAGGGAAAAGTTGTTTTCTTGCTGAAACATGGAAGGGCTGTATCTCGTGATCTGTCTTCTGGCCGGGACGCTGGCAGAACAGGGTAAGTGTCTTATTAGTCCCTCGATGCCTCGGACTTTACTAACAGAAGTTTGACTCTGTTGTAACTTCCTGACAGACGTTTGTATACCAGTTGAAATCCTAAGCATGCGTAGACGCATTCAGATATTTTTTGTTTCCTTTAAGTATTCTGTTATTGCAAGAACTTCCGAAACTTGTTATTAATATATTCCTTTGACATTTCACTCCTAAGCACGTAACCAGACAGACCCCCATACCTATCCAAATTCGACTCGCCACGCAAACCTGGCAACCGTTAAAGACTTCAGGAGGAAAAGCCCCCGTTTTTTCTCTCCCTCTCTCTTTACGTGACCGCGAATCATTGTCTTAGATTACGCTAATCCACCTTGGGTCGGCCGGAGGCACTCGCATATCCACGTGGTAATTGATTATCCTTAGATCAGTAGGATGGCCGGTGATATACAACAAACTGCAGCCACGCATGCGGTCTCGGGCCTTTCGGTCGATTTGAACACTGCTGAACTTCCCGAGTGCATCCTAAAGCGTTGCGCATTTACTCATTGAGTTTTATTACGCTTTTAGAGCTTTTAATTAAGAATTCAGTGCTTCTAAGAAAGACATTTTCGCCCTCTAATACAACCCGGTACACAATTCGTAACACTTTCCTTATTAGAGAACTTCCTAACGAGAACTAAGTAACAGTAATGAATCGAACTAGTTGTGGTTCCAAGCAAGCGGTGCGGCGAGGAAGCCCATTCACAGCTTGCCTCTCGACGGCCTTCTGTAGGTAACAAGGACCAGCTGGCGGAGGTCTTCGGGAGGTGAGCTGGCGGTAATGGGTGGTTCTGCCGTTAGACATGGAACGAAGACATTATACGTTCTCCCTGATGCTATGGGGGATATGCATGGCCTGTAACGTATGTACTAAATGGATTCTTTTAATACTTCTTGCTACATGTGCATTTCTCTTAATCTTAGGCATACAAAACACACACACACACACACACACACACACACACACACACACACACACACACACACACACACACACACACACACACACACACACACACACTCACTCACTCACACACGCGCATCCCCTCCTCCCTTCTCCCCTCAAAAATGAAAGATAAACCGATATATGATGTTCTTCAGTAACCGTCTCGTGCACCTCCTTCGAAGCGACTCTGCCGCCACCAAGTGCCATGAAATGAAGGAGAGAGTCAATATCCGGTGCCACAAATCATGCGGGAAAGATGGTCCGTGACCCGCGGCTCCTCTTCCATTTCCTCTTCGCTTTTCCCTATCTCCGCCTTTCCTTTTCCTTTCCCTTTTTTTACTTTACGTTTTGTTTTGCCTTTTCTTTGTTTAACTGTTTCTTGAGTGTGTTTTATTTGTTTTTGTTTTCTAATTTTGTCTTTTATGCAATTTCAGCACATGTAGTAATAAGAATTTATTTTTCTCTCTCGAAATTTCCTGTTTTCATATATGTATTTCCAGACTTATCAGATATCAAATTCGTTTTTTATTTATTTTTCATTCTAACTCATCCTCCCTCATTTTTTCTCTTTTGTCTCTGTTCCACTTCTAATTGTGTTTACTTATTACTATATCCACTGCTCCTCTCTCTGTACCCCCCACCCCCTCTTTTTCTGGCTCCTTTCTCCTTCCCTTCTCTCTCTCTCTCTCTCTCTCTCTCTCTCTCTCTCTCTCTCTCTCTCTCTCTCTCTCTCTCTCTCTCTCTCTCTCTCTCTCTCTCTCTCTCTCTCTCTCTATCTTTACCCTTATATCCCCCCTCTCCCTCTTTATCAGCCTTTCCCTCTTCTCTCTCCTCTCTTTCTCCTCCCCCCCCCCCCTCTCTCTCTCTCTCTCGCTCTCTCCCCTCCTCCCTCCCTCTTGCTCTCCCCCCCTCTCTCTCCCCCCCCTCTCTCTCTCTCTCTCTCTGTCTCTCTCTCTCCCCTCCCCTCCCCTCCCCCCTCCCCTCCCTCCCTCCCTCCCTCCCTCTCCCGTTTCCTCTCTTCCATCACTAACTCTCAATATCTTTCTCTTACTAACCCATTCCGATAACGGTCTATATATCTATCTCGTTAAAGACTACTCCCCCCTCCCCCAAGTCTCCCCTTTCCCCTCTTCAAATT